ACATTCCTCTCGAGCTCGTGTGGAGCATTCACCAAGACAGACCATGTTCCAGGCCACAAAACACAGCCCAACAAATTTCATAAAACAGAAATCCTATGTCTGCCTTCAGACCACAGTGGGATTGAACTAGGAATCAGTAAAAGAAACAACGAAAATCCCAAAATACATGAATAAACAACACACTTCTAAAAAAACCACACAGGTCAAAGAAGAAATCTCGAGAGAAATTTTAGAATGTTTTAAACTAAATGAAAATGATAATGCAACTTATCAAAGGTTGTGGGATGCAGCCAAAGCAGTGCTCAGAGGGAAGTGTATAGCACTGAATGCACACTGTAGAATGGAAGAAAGATCTAAAATCAATAATCTATATTTCCATCTTAAGAAACTAAAAAAAGGACAAATTAAATCCTAAAATAAGTAGAAAAAAAAAAGAAATAATAATTAGAGCGAAAACCAATGAAACTGTCAACACGAAATTAATAGAAAAAAAAAAAAATCAATGAAACCAAAGCTGGTCCTTTGAAAACATCAATTTAATAAGCCTCTAGCAGGATAAGAAAAAAAGAGAAAACACAAAGTACTAATATCAGAAATGAAATGGGACATCATTACAGATCCCATAGAAATTAAAAGGGTAATAAAGAAATACTATAACATAAACGTGGAGAACGTAGATGAAATGGACCAATTCCTTGAAAGACACAATCTGCTAAAATTCACACAAGGAAAAAAAAGATCTGAGTAGTCCCATATCTACTAAAAATACTGAATCAATAATAACCTTCCAAAACAGAAAGCACCAGGCCCAGATGGGTCCACTGGTGAATTCTACCTAGCATTTAAGGAAGAAATTATACCAATCCTGTCCAATCCCTTTCAGAGGATAGAAGCAGAGAGAATACTTCCTAACTCACCTATGAAGCCAGGATTCCCCTAATACCAAAATCACAAAAAGACATTAAATACAGACCAAAGTCTCTCATGAACACAGATGCAAAAATCCTCAACAAAATATTAGCAAATCAAATCCAACAATATATAAAAAGAATTATACTTTACAACCAAGTGGGATTTATCCCAGCAATGCAAGACTCACTCAACATTTGAAAATCTATTAATGTAATCCATCACATCAAAATACTAAAAATAAATCACATAATAGGTTCATATCAGTAGATGCAGAAAAAGCATTTGACAAAATGCAACTCCCAATCATGATAAAAACTCTCAGTAAACTAGGAATAGAGGGAACTTTCTCAACTTGATAAAGACTATCTACAAAAATCCTAAAGCCAACATCATATTTAATAGTAAGAAACTCAAAGCTGTCCCACTAAGATGAGGTACAGGGCAAGGATGTTCCCTCTTACCACTCCTTTTCAACACTGTACCAGAAATGCTTGCTAATGTAATAAGGCAAGAAAAAGAAATTAAAAGCATACAAATTGGGAAGAAAGACAAAACTTTGTTCAAGATGACATGATCATCTGTGTAAAAACTCTGAAAGAATAAGCAAAATCTCCTGAAATTAATAAGCAGTTATAGTGACGTTGCAGGATACAAGATTAATATACAAAAGCCGATTGTTTTCCTATATACAGACAATGAACAAGTGGAATTTGAAATTAAAAACACAGTATTATTTACATTAGCACCCTTGAAAATGAAACACTTAGATGTGAATCTAAAAAAATATATATAAGATCTAAGTGAGGACTACTACAAAACTGATGACTGAAATCAAAGAGGAACAAAATAATGGAGAGATATTCCATGTTCGTGGGTAGGAAGACTTAATATCGTCAAGATATCAGTTCTCCAAAATTGATCTATAGATTCAATGCAATCCCAATCGAAATCCCAGCAAGTTATTTTATAGATATCAACAAGCTATTTCTAAAGTTTATATGGAGAGGCAAAAGACCCAAAATAGCCAACATGATATTGAAAGAGAAGAACAAAGCTGGAGGATGACATACTTGACTTCAAAACTCAGTATAAAGCTACAGTAATTAAGACAGTGTGGTGTTGGAGAAAGAACAAATACATCAATGGAAAAGAAAAGAGAACTCAGAGATAAACCCCCATAAATACAGTCCACTGATCTTCAACAAAGGAGCAAAGATAGTCTCTTCAACATATGGTGCCAGAACAACTGGACATCCACATGCAAAATCATGAATCTAGACACAGACCTTGCACTCTTCACAACAATCAACTCAAAATGGTCCATAGACCAAAATGTAAAATGCAAAACATCTAAAACTCCCAGAAGATAACATAGGAGAAGACCTAGATGACCTTGGGTGTCATGATGCCTTTTTAGATACAACACCAAAGACACAGTTCATGGAAGAAATAATGATCAACTGGACTTCATTGCAAGTAAAACCTTCTGCTCTGGAAAGACAGTTATCAAAAGAATTTGAAGATAAGCCACAGACTGGAATAAAATATTTGCAAAAGACACATCTGACAAAGGACTATTATCCAAAATATATAAAGAACTCTTAAAACTCACCAATAAGAAAATAACCCAGTTAAAAAGTGGTCCAAAGACTGGGTGTTATATAAGACTGATGAACCACTGAACTCTACGTCTCAAACTAATATATTATATGTAGATTGAATTTAAAGAAAGAAATTAAAAAAAAAAAAAGTGGCCCAAAGACTTTAACAGGCACCCCACCAGAGAAGATACAGGATGCCAAATAAGCATACAAAAAGATGCTCTGTGTCATATGTCATCAGGGAAATGCAAATTAAAACATCAGTGAGCCACCACCACACATCGAGAAGAATGGCCAAAACCTGGAACACCAAGAACACCACATGCTGGTGAGGATGCGGAGCTCATTTACTGATGGCTGGAATGCAACATGGTGTGGGCACTTTGGAAGACAGTTTGGCGGTGCATACTCTTACATACAATCCAGCAGTCATGCTCCTTGGCATTTACCCAAAGGAGTTGAGAACTTATGTCCACACAAAAACCTGCACATGGATGTCTACAGCAGCTTTGTTCATAATTGCCAAGCTTGGAAGCAACAAAGATGGACATCTTTGTTGTTCAGTGAGTGAATGGATTAATAAACTGTCTATATCTAGACAATGGAATATCATTCAGCACTAAAAGCAGATGAGCTGTCAGGCTGAAAAGACATGGAGGAACCTTATATGCATATTACCAAGTGAAAGAAATCCACGTGAAAAGGCCAATATTCTATGATTCCAACAAAATGGACATTCTGGAAAAAGCGAAACAATGGAGACAATGAACAGATCAGTGACGGCCAGTGGTGGGGCTGGGGGTGGGAGCAAGACAAATAAGCAGAGCATGGAAGATTTTAAGGGCCATGAAAAATCCTCCACGTGATACTGTAATAGACGGACACACGTCATCATACCTGTGTCCAGATCCACAGGACGCACGACAGCAAGTGTGACCCTAACACACATGACGGACCTTGGGTCAGTACAATGCATCAGCGCAGGCTGATCCTCGGTAAAAAATATACCACTCCGGTGATCATGGGGGTGGGATACACACGTGTGCGGAAAGGGATGTATAAAAAACCTCTATTTTCCACTCAATCTATCGTAAACCTAAAACTGCTCTAAAAAACTAAGTATTAAAAAAAGACAATTGGGGGGATCCTGGTGGCTCAGCTAGTTAAGCATCTGACTGTTGGTTTCGGCTCAGGTCATGCTCTCAGGGTCATGGGATCGAGCCCCGTGTGAGACTCACTGCTGGGTGTGGCGTCTGCTTGAGATTCTCCCTCTCCCTCTGCCCCTCCCTGCCGGCCCCCCACCTCCCTCTCTAAAGAAAAATAAAAAATAAAAGAACAAGATACTTCCATGCATGTCAGCCTGTGAATACCTTCAAGACATTAAAAGGAAAAAAAGGACAATGCACTTAAAAAGTGGACAAAGGATCTCAGGGGAGGTCTCTGCAGAGATCTATAAATGGCAATCCGCACATGAAGTCGCTCAGTATTATTAGTCACTAGGGAAATGCAAATCCCGACTACGAGACTCCACTTCACCGGGGGGATGGTGAGGACCGGAAAGACAGGGGACCGCAACCTGACCCACGCTGGTGGGGATGCGTGCATCCCCAGAAGGTCACGCCCAGAGTTACCGTCCGGCCCGGCAGGGCCACCCCTAGCGCGACCCAAGAGAGACGAAAACACGCCCCACAGAACCCATACCCAGTGTTCGCAGCAGCGCCATCCTAAGAGCATGGCCGTCGAGGGCAGAACGGACACACACACTGTGCTCTGCCCACAGAATGGAGACACGAGGGCCTGACCGAGGCTATGGTGCTGGAGGAGCCCGCAAGCAGGAGCCGGGCTCATCTCCCAGGGGCATTCACCAGAACCACGCCGGACAGGCAAAGCCGCGGAGACAGAAAGCGCATCAGCGGTCGCCGAGGGTGGCCAGGAAGTGGGAAGGGGTTGCTAGCGGGTACTAGGGTTCCTGTTCGGGGGATGAGAGTGTCCTAAAATTGGCTGTGGTGATGGCTACTTGGCTGTATGTACTAAAAACCACCGAACCGCACATTGTAAGTGGGTGAACGGTATGGTACGTGAATTATATCTCAACCAAGTATTTCTTACACACACACACACACTCAGCCCCGGGGGCCTGGGAAGGGGACTGGCCCCCTGGGAAGATGCTCCGGCTCCGCAGCCTGGGAGCCTTGTGACCTCGGACAAGGACTCTTCCCAGGCCAGTTTCTGTTTCTGCAACATGTCTTCCGTATGACCTAGCTCACAGAGTCAAGCGAGTGGAAACAAACCCCGGGTGTGAGCACGTCTGGCTCAGGACGAAGCGTGCAACAGACCCTCTACACGGGCTAAAGAAATAACCCAACACCTGAAAGGACCTTGTCAGCGACAGATGCAAGGTGCTTGCAGAATTTCATGCACAAAATTGTAACACGTTATCAGAAAGAACCCATGTTCAGTTTCATACGTCGCTTTCCAAAGACTCACTTGAGCTCAGTGCCCCACTGTTTGAAAGAGAAATTAATGGAATTTGGGTGCCCAGGGGCCGGCTGGTGAGCTGCTGCCTCTCCTACCAGCTCTCCGGGGGTGGCTTCCACAGCGAGGACATTCCTGGCTTTCTCTGCAGAAGCATCCGGATGTGAGCAAATGACATCTGAAAGACAGGCAAACAAAGGTCAGTCCTCAACGCGTCCATGTGGAACTCTGCATCCTACGTGAGACACGGACCCACGTGCAATCGGCCACAGGACAGGACCCATGGTCGCGTCGGCGTTCTGCGACTGTTTTCACCTAAAGCACCTCCATGTTTGTGAGGTGCTTCAAAGGCCCCAGGGCCGCGAGGGTGATTTTGGAAATCACCCAGGAAACGGGTAATATTACAGGTTCTTTCTTTGCATAAAACTCCCCATAATAAGAACTTCTTTTAACATTTGGAAAAAAATGTCCCCAGCTGCAAATACTTCATACTCTCCACAGTGGTATCCTCTCCCCGAGGGCAGGGGATGTCTGTAGAGGCCAGCCTGCCCTACACGTCCCTTTCACAAAGCGCCCCTACTCTGGCCGCATCGACCCTTACTCTCCCTGTGAAGCAAAATCAGAACGGCCTGCTGAGCATGGACACCGAGGAAAACTCGACTTCTCGTGGGAGAAGCGCCGGATCCGAGCGGCTCAGGACAGTGTCCGTGGAGGGCCCCGAGCGCCAGCAGGGGAACCAACCCCAACCACGGGCTCTTGCAGTGGAGGCGGGGCACCAAGGGACCAGGTAGCGTGGGAGGGGCTCTGAGAACCCGCGGGGAAAGCACACCGCGTGTGACGGGAAGAGGTGAGGGCTGTGTCCGTCGGGGGGAGCTCGGCTGCGGCCCAGAGCGGGGTCCTGAGTGGAAGAAGCAGAAGGGGCGCTGGGAGAGAGAAGATCCGATTCCCGATTCTTGGTTCGAATTACCACCCCATGGTGAGCACGGCGTACGGCCAATCACAAGAACACACATCTAGGAAGGACACGTAAAGTAACAGAAGGTCACGCAGAAGCAGGGAGCCCCTGGAACCCGGAGCCTGGGACCTCAGATGGAGCGGAGGGAGGACTCCACCCACGGCTCCAACCACGGCAGCTCCTCTCCCCTCCTTCAGACCGCAGCTCCCGAGATTTCACTTGGAAAGAGTTCCGATAAACAAAAAACAAGGTCAAACACTGGGAACCGGGTCCAGCCCCCCGGCCCTCGGAAGACAGACCCTGCACGGCAGGTGCCGTGACCATCCCTGCGAGGACGGGCGGCCAAGCTCGGGCTTCTCGAGGGCTGGTCCTCGCAGAGCTCATGGCGAAGCTCCACAGGCCCGGCCAGGACACGGGGCCCGGGGCTCCTGCCTGCTGCACGCGGGCCAGCCTCTCGAGAGCTTCTGTGGGGCTGGGGACAAGGTGAGTGGTGGCCCCACTGCGGGCGCCGACTATCAACCGCTCTTGCGAAGCCCCTCCTGCCCAGAAAACCCCAGGCCCTGTGGCTACCCTGGGCCGGGCTGCAAATCCTTCCTGGGGACGGCAAGGTGCAGGGGCCTGCTGGAGACAGGGAACCAACTGCCAGAACACACCGTCTCCGGAAGTTATTACTCCACGTGAAAAAGCAGCAATGCCCCAGTTTTGCCATTACTGTCATTTTGCCTTGTCTTCGGTTTTTAAATGACTGCGTGATCGTTCCTTAATTAGAAGCAAAGCGGCTGGTGTCTCCTCCCGTGTCCGCACATTCGCATTCAGGAGCCGCCTGGACGGGGACACAAACTAGGTCACAGCAGGGTTTCCCTGCAGTCCTGCCGGGAGCCACGGGAGCCGCCAGCCTCGGTTGGGAGACCGTCTGTGCTCAAGCCTGCTGGCATTCAAATGCTCTCTGCTCCTTTCCAACATTTTCAAACGCCACAACTCCGACGCGTCCTGACAGCAGGGCTCCCCGTCCTTTCCCGCTGCCTCGACCCGGCCAGGATGCTGGGCCGTCCAAGAAAGGGGGAAAACCACGGGAGAAGGCCCTTTCCACAGGCGGCACGGAACACGTCTCTGTGGGAGCCGGAGGACAGAGCGAGCTTAACAGGAAAACGTTTCTTTCCCCTTTATCAGAGTGAGTTTTAACCCAGATGGTGAAGGAGCGATCAGAGCTGGATGAGAATCTCCTAAGCGAGGGCAGAGTGCATGCCCAAGCACCAAAAAGGAGGGGCTCTCCAGGCCCCCAGCAGGCCGGCCCACGCATCCTACCTGGCTGTTCCCACCATGGGCATAAGCCTTGTGACCAGCAGCTAGCAGAGAAGGGGCTCATACGCACTGGGGAGCCGGACCACGGAAGAACAAAAGACGGAGCGATGGGGAGCCGGGGCAGGAGGCCCTATACTTCCCCGCAGGGCTCATGGGTCTCCCTTGTGAACTACCTCCCTTCGAGAGACCCCGGAGTCAGGTGGGGCCCACAATTGGCAGATGACTTCCCTCTCCTGCCTGTGCCACCCCCCACCTTCTGCAATCTGCCCAGACCCCAGCCTCTGCACCAACACGCACCCAGCTCACCTGCACCCCCTCCGCCCTCAGCATCACCCACCCAGCTCACCTGCACCCCCTCCGCCCTCAGCATCACCCACCCAGCTCACCCGCACCCC